TTTTTGGCAAATATAAAAGCCTTTTCACACCAGAAGTGAAATGAATAAGCCTCAGGCTTACGTAAAAGTAAGTTTACGTCCATACAGTAGAATGCAGAAGAAGACATTTCAACACGCTTATTAAAAGTAAGTAAAAAGCAATAAAAAAAGACACAAATGTTTGTCTAGAGTAATTTGTGCTTATTAGTACGGTTGAACTGGATCATCGAAGGTCAGAAGCAAATAGAATGGGATTAAATACATAAAGGATATTTGTGTTGTTTAACATTTAATTATTGCAGGTTTGCGTCATATTCTGAGTTGCGTTATTTTTATTCATTTTGAGGAATACTGAATCGGGGGTGGGTTTGTGAGCGAGATGAATTAATGCATATTCATATTTATTTTAGAACTACAGTAACATCTTCTGATTTCTCTCAACATGGGGACAGGAGAGCTGTCAGTCAATACATTGAAAAAAACAAAAGTAACTTGCGTTACTCATCTGAAAAAGTAACTCAGATATTCTCTTGTAAATTAAAAAGTAATGCGTTACTTTACTAGTTACTTGAAAAAAAGTAATCTGATTACGTAACTCGCGTTACTTGTAATGTGTTACCCAACACTGTGTTTGAACAATCAGAAAACAAACCGGTCTGATTAATGATCTGTGTCTGGTCACTAATGTTTAACCCAGTGTCTGAAAAACCAAAAATGTTCTTCAGTAATTAAAGAAAGAGTCTGAGGTACGGTTCAGACAGGAGTGTTCGTCCTCTCGTCATTTATTCACTGCCCTCACGCAGGTTTGGAACAACATGACGAAAGTAAACGAGGACGATTGAGCTATTTCTGTAGGCTCTGACCTGCGCCGCTGCGGACCGTGTTCATGGACGCGATGCTCCTCCACTCGTCTCTCTCGGGGTTGTAGCATTCAGCGGAGCTCAGCCGGTGCGTGCCGTCGAAGCCTCCCACCGCGTACAGCAGCCGGTTGATCACGGCTACACCGACTCCGATCCGCCGCGTCAGCATCGCCGCCACCAGCTGCCAGCAGTCTCTCTCTGGATCATACCTAAACACATCAAACACAGATAAATCATCACGCAATGCCTGACATGAACACGCAAAGACAACAAACCCTGCATGACACACTTACTGGAGCTCGTGCTCGTCATTACTTGAGCTGCACTTATTTACTGCGGTCGTCAGCAAGTCAGATCACATCTTGAGGAGCGTCACAGATTTACCTGAAACTCACCTGACAGACAGACCAGTCTTTATAACTCCAGTGACTCACTGCAAAGTTCAGTGTTTATGTATCTATTAATAGCGGTTTCCACTTCCTTCTACTCACAGAGTAATGTCTGTCATTCATCACTAATCTCCACAAACATCACAGAGGAAGCGTCACAGCAGATCAGTGTTACCCGGTTGCAAAAGCTTTGAGGTGTTTTCTTGTGTCTGGCGTGAGAAGAGCAACATTACCAGGTGAAAACGATGCGTCTGATCATTTAAGCCCAAACTGTACTGCGGTTAAAACTTACAGTTTTACAGTTACAGTTTTAACTGTACGATAAAACATCTATTAACCTGTTAATATGAATGATCTTAAGGACTGAACATGCAATATAGACACAGATTTATAAACTGGATAGTTCCGGTGCTTGATTCTGATTGGCTGAGCCACGTTCGAAGCTGTTGTAAATGACTACAAAGTAACATACACCTTTGTTTACGTTTGTGTGTTGCTCAGCAACCACTTTGTTGCAACCACAACTGTTTCTGAGGAGCTACATTGTTTGGTGGAAGAATACTGTTTTTATTAATATCATTACACTTTATTTGCTCTGTTTTATTTTGTGAAACCTTACTACGTATATGGAATAATCGTTTTATAAAAGCAATAAGCCCCGTGAAGCCGTGGTTTACAGTGAATTTATAACAGCTAAGGGGGTTTTAGACTCCACTTCGCATAGAACAACACCTCTTAGTGGTTATAAATTACCTGTAAACCATGGCTTCACAGGGCTTATTGCTTTATTAACTGCTGTGACACATAACATGTCTTATATCTTAAAATTAAATAAAAACACAAGAACACGGTCTTCTTTTCAATTAAATACCAATGGTTATATAATATGCATGCTTTATAACAACTTTCCTTACAACATGCTTCATTCTTTCAAGCAGACATATTTATTTATATGAATTAAATTTAATCCTTATTAGGGCTACTAAAGTGGTCCAGTCAAGAGCAGGGAGTAATTTTCTCTCTTTCTTTTGTTATTTGATTAATATTAATGACACAGACAACAGCAACTAAATGAGGCTGCTGTCCCTTTAAAAATGAATGCACGGATGCAATATACTGATACTCATCTGAATTCAGAACTCGTGTGCTGTCTAAGAGGGTGTGTGCGCTCAGAAAACCGGACCGAATCGAGTTTTTCTTTCGTGCTTTTTCAAATGTATCATATCATCGCTGATATTTTTGATCGTGTTATGAGACGTGCAGCAGATGTATGCTAGCTGATGTCCCGCCGGATAGATCCGTTCAGCTCAAATGTTCGCATCTAAACTCCCAACCACGCAGGAGATTCGTTCTGACTGGATTTCTGACTGAAAACCAGTTTAGTTTTTATCATTCAAAATGAGTTTTTATTCCATGTCGTCGGTGAAAACACTGTGCCAAAGTAATGGTGCAAAACACAACATTAGAGATCCTTCTTGTTATAATGAGATGTGTATATTTTCAGCTCATTATGAAACCGTAACAGGACAAAGTAGCGTTCACTGCAGACAGCTGTGCTGAGAGCGATCTACCTGCTGCAAAGGCACACTGGTTATAAAACATGAACAATACAAGCTCTGCAGGAGCGATCTACCGTCTCACCTCTCCACGCTGTTGTGATGGACGCAGCCGTGCGAGCCGCCCACAGCGTAGATCATGCCGTCGATGACGCCCACGCCGATGCGGTTGCGCGGGACACTCATGGGCGCGCAGGGCAGCCAGCGGTTGTTCATGGGGTTGTAACAGTCCAGCATGCTGGAGTCCATGTTTCCGTCCGGAGCGTTGTTCCTGCCGCCCACGGCGTACAGCAGGCCGCCGATGACACAGGCTGCTAATCCGCTGCGGGGCACCTGTAGATCAGCCAGCTGCAGCCAGGCTCCGGAGCCGGGGTTAAATGCCTCCAGATAGCTGAGCGACTGCCGGAAGTATCCTCCAGCCGTGTAGATGAGCTGCGGCACCTTGGGCATCCGGAGGGGGGTGACTTTAGTGGGCTTGTGCAGCGTGAGGTCCTGGAAGATCTGCGACAGGTAGTCTTTGCTCTGAGCGTCCCAGTCGAAGCGCTCGAGCTGGCGCTGCAGGAACAGCGGTGTGAGCGAGTGACAGCGGACCGCCTGCAGCAGAGCCTGCACATACAGCCGCCGGTTCTCCCGGTCGTACTGAACCCACTCCACACACGCGTGAAACACCTCGGACTCACAGCGCACGTTCAGCTCGTCACGGCTGATCAGCGTCACCAGCTGACAGTGAGACAGATTGAAGAACTCCTCCTGTGTGGCCACCTGAGAGACAGACAGATTCAGCATCAACACACTCACACACACACACACACACACACACACACACACTCACACTCACACAAACACTCACTCACTCACACACTCACTCACACACTCTCACACACTCTCACACACACTCTCACACACACACACACACACTCTCACACACACACACACTCATACACTTACTGACAGATCACACACCAAACCTTAGCAACAACACGAGCGTGAGTACACTACGTCAAAACTCTCTTCTGCTCACCAAGCCTGCATTTATTTAATCAGAAATACAGCAAAAGCAGTAATGTTGTGAAATATTTTTACTGTTCAAAATAACAGTTTTCTATGTGAATATCTGTTAAACTGTAATTTATGTCTGTGATGCGCAGCTGTATTTTCAGCATCATTACTCCAGTCTTCAGTGTCACATGATCTTCAGAAATCATTCTAATATGCTGATTTGCTGCTCGAGAAACATTTATCATCACAGGTAAACGCTCTCGTCGTACAGGCTGAGCGCGACTGACCTGACTGAAGTTCATGTAGATGTACTCTCTGGCCTTCTGGTGAAGCTCAGTGCAGCTGATCTGCTCGGCGAAGCTGGCGATGCCGATGGCGTTGCTCGGGTCGAGCTGCTGCACGAGGAAATCACAGCAGGCCTTGACCACGCTGTCGATCTGGTACATGACGGCTCCGTTCATCACGTGAATCACACACTTCTCGCCCACAGAGATGCTTGCCGTGTACGCGAACTCGATGAGCCGGCCCATGACCTGAGAACAGCCAGACACGGATCAGACACGCGTGTGAGAAAGAGCCGTCACTAGCTCTTCTGAGACCCTCTTACCTTCGGGTGGATCCCCTCGATGGGCACCACCTCCATCCCACACTCCTTCAGGCCGTTGGTGAACATGGCGCGAAACACCGGCGAGGACGAGGCCAGCACCACCTTATGAGCCACGAAGTCCACGGCGTCCAGCTGGCTGTATTTGACCCTCAGCGTGACGTCACACAGCTGGCGCTCCAGCCGCAGCTCGTTCATGATGGAGAAGGCGGCCGCTGTGTGGCTCTCCAGCGTGTAGCTGAACACACGGTGACCGTTCCTCGCCGACGGAGTCACCTCCGCCTTACACTCCGTCATACCGGCTGCCGCGTACATGCTCAGCGGCTCGGCACACGCATCGCTCGCCAGCGCAGGAGTGAGACGGCAGAGTCTTACGGGACGCTCTTCAACCTGCGGCTCCTTCAGAGCAGACGTGAGCTCCTTAGGGATTCCTCCACTGCTGCATTTCATACACAATCAGCTTGATTTGACAGGAATCTGTTTAGACGGATTACTCATGAACCAGGAAGAGCACAGACACAAACGCTCGCGTCAGCTGAGAACAATGCAATCGGTCTGTCGCTCACATATTTGAGTCTTTTCCTCAAAGCGAGGAGAAACGTCTAGAGTCTTTCTGAGCAGGTTTGTCTGTCTGAAACTGAAGGCTGGACGTCTCTTGATCGTGAAGAATCTTACAGTGTCAGATTGAGACTCGTTAAGAGGCCCGTCAGACTGCAGGAATCACGCGCGTCCTTCAGTTCAATGATCTGGTTCCTCCGTTCACTGCGAGTCCTGAGAAAAAACACAGACACATTTAAACCAAGTGACACGAAACACAGCAATCATAAACTCATTTCAGGCTCCTGAGGAACACAAGAACAAACGGCTGATGCAGGTCACTGTACGATCGAGACCGTCATGAACGTGAGCTCGACAGCACACGCTAGACCGCTAGTAACATAAACTAAATATGAGATGTGAATGAGGGCTTACACAACCACTCCGTGTTAACATCCGTCTAATTTGATGAGATTCTTACAGGTGTCTGACCAATTTGATCCAAATCCCTGCAGTTTTATTGTCTGAATGATTTCTGACATGAACAACTAATGATACTGGAAGTGTTTCTCCTTCCATTCAAATATTAATATCCATATAACAATGATATTTATTACATGATGAGCAGCACTGTTTGACCCACTAGATCCAGACTGAAGATCAATTAGTGTCCTCTGTGTGTGTGTGTGTGTGTGTGTGTGAGAGAGAGTGTGTTTATGTGAGAGAGAGAGTGTGTGTGTGTGTGAGAGAGAGAGAGAGAGAGAGAGAGAGCGAGAGTGTGTGTGTGTGTGTGTGTGTGTGTGAGAGAGTGTGTGTGTGTGTGAGAGAGAATGAGTGTGTGTGTGAGAGATGTGTGTGTGTGTGTGTGTGTGTGTGTGTGAGTGAGAGAGAGAGAGAGAGTGTGTGTGTGATGGTTAATGCACTGCACAGGTAAACACACATGCAACTGCTGCTGCATAAATGACAAACTTCAAAAACTGCAAAGAAAGGTCAGAGATCAGGACAGATTTAAACTAACGTTTATGGTTATTTAGCGAGTGAAAGTGCTTAATCTTTCAGTTTTAATCCACAATCAACACATTCAACCTGAAATGTCACGATCAGTTTAATAAAGGCTCTAAATTCATCCTTTTCTTATAACCCCTCTTACATTTTGCAGTACACAAAAATAAAACTAGAATCACAAAGTGCAACTATGAGTCTAAAATACTGACATTTAAACAGTGAGAGGCCTGGTATCCCCGGGCTGGAGTTTAAACTCTCTCCGGCCTCCGGCAGCTCAAAGCCGGTCACTCACACAGCAGCGCCGCGGCGCTGAACGAACTCTGCCTGAAGCTGCAGTCGATGTGTAAACCCTTCCGTGCCAAACCTCCCTAATGTTTACATTATTAATCAAAGACACTGTCGTTTCCACACGTTCACAAACCTCAACACTTATAAATATGCGGAGAAAAATATAAGACGATTGTAATTACTGTAAAAGTGTGTTATTACTGCTATTATTACTGCTCGAGATCCACATACATCACACTGCGAGAGACGGAAATATCTCTTTTCAATGTGATCTAAGTTCATAATGATCAGATCCTCATTTGTAACGAAACAAGCCTTCGTCATCATCATCATCATCACTGTCCATCAGCGCACGTAATAAATCAGAAGCTTGAGTGACACGAAACAAAAGCGTTTCAATCACAGCACAAACACAGTAAACAAAGTCTCTCATGAAAACACTTACCGATCATCGCAGCAGCAGCTCTCAGTGAGTGAGTGAGTGTACTTCTCTGCGTGTGTGAGTGTGAGTGTGTGTGCGTTATCGTGTACTTCTCTGCGTGTGTGTGCGTTATCGTGTACTTCTCTGCGTGTGTGTGTGTGTGCGTGT